GCGGCCGCTCCAACGGTCTACGCGCGCTCTGATTGGTCGGGGTTTTCCGTTAATATCTCCTCAACGAATCCTCGGACAACAATTTCGCTAAGGAAAAAGTTGTTTCAAATCACCTCTACTCTGTGTATACAGAGTGTCCCAAAAATGTTGTAACACCTTGAAAGAGGTGGTTCGGGAGGTGATTTGAAACAACTTTTTCCTTAGCGAAAATGTTGTCCGAGGCTTCGTTGAGGAGATATTAACGAAAAACACTGACCAATCAGAGCGCGAGGCGGTCGCGCTCCCCGACCAATTAGAGCGCGCGTAGACCGTTGAAGCGGCCGCGGTAGCGAAGGCTACGCGCTAGGTCGATGCTTCGATGCACGTCGCTCCAACGGTCTACGCGCGCTCTGATTGGTCGGGGTTTTCGCTTAATATCTCCTTAACGAAGCCCCATCCGACATTTTTGCAAAGGAAATTGTTGTTCAGAATCGTCTCAGCTACCCCCCATTTCCGGCTCCTCCCCGAGTTTTGGGACACCCTGTATATGTCCGTCTAGGCGTTGAAAGTTTAACTCCTTGTTAAATTTTTATTTAGGATTAAGGAACAATAATCGTTTCCAATAATGCATTAATCATTTGGATAATGAAGTATCGCATATATATTAATATTTCTCCCCGAATCGTTTGACTAATGAGACAGTTATTCTAAATTACAAACAAACGATTCATAATTGACAAACTCTGCGAAAAGTGACACCAAACACCTTAACACGTTTGATCGCCGCGTCATCCATATGTGGGTGACAGTGATTTTCACTGAAGAACCAAAAAAAAATTAATTCCGAAAGTTAAGCTTCACAGGAAACGAATTTAAATGAAATTCGTGTATTTTGATGAAAGTTACAAAAATAAATACCACGTCGGATGTTTGATTATGTAGTCTCCAATAATCTGAATAATATTTAATCCCAGCAGAAATTTTCAAAAATATTTCTCTGGCAGTCAACGTGTTAAAAAGGGCAGATTTTCTGTCCCATCACCAAACAGACACAAGTTTATAGCATGATCGATGTCTCTGTGTTGCGCAGGTCGAGAACGTGAGCCTGTGCGTAGGAGCGCTCCGGGCTCTAGGGGCAGACGTGGCCTCTGTGAATCCCAGCGAATTGGCCGCGGGATCAACCCTTTGGCCAGTCCTTGCCCTTCTCTTCGCCCTCTCGCGATACAAGCAGAGAGCCAAACAGCTTCAAGACATGCCTAGGTAAGTTGGAAAATAGATTTCTTCTTCTTCGCAACTGATAATGTAGCGAGCATCCGTATCGACAATGTTCGTCGCTGGTAAGTTAGATTTCCTTGTCGACAGTTGGTAAGGTAGTGTTGCTCGACTGAAACATAGGAATCGGAGACACTGCTTTATCGAATGAAAAACAAAGTAATTCCGTGTGTTCAACAGTATACACGAATTACAGAGTATTTTAATTTTTTGTACAATTTTTTCGATTATTATCATACGAATAGGTGTTGATATTATTAAAGAATGTAAAAATGAACTCTTGGAACAACCTAATAGAATAAAACGCAATCAGTTCTGCATTCGACGAGTTCCTTTTTATTATCTCTTTGCACTGTTTTCACGAGTCTGGCTCGTGATGAAAATTTTAGGCCAAACTTGACAATCACGAGTCAGGCCCGTTGTTAAGCTTGGCGAGTTAGTCATTGAGAGATTCTGTGGTGAATAATTCGTTAGCAGTTCTTCGACAGACTTAAAACGTGTTTTCATTGAGAATAATTTTAATTAATAACAGCTCAACGCACACATATGTGCTCACTGGTCTTGAAAAGGTTAATTGAATTTTACTTTTCTTCAACTGTTCTATCACTGGCATAGTTACCCTATAGAATGCCGGTGTCGAAAGTCTTGAAACGCTCTCGAAGCAAAGGTAAACTCATTTAATTCGCGAACGTCTATCTCAAGGGTCGAGAGCTCAAGGCTCGCTTAACGAGAACCCATCGGTGATCCTCTCAGCTTCTTTCTCGTTTCATCGACATTGATCGATACCCTTCGCCACGGATAAATGTGGTTATTCCCTTGGCTCGCTTTCGCGAAATTTTCGAGCACTTAGGCGCCTGGTCGTAATATTTTCATTCTTCGCGAGCTCGAATCGATACCGACGTCCCGTCAGACGAACGACCTGGCGGCGTGCTCATTAACGTCCGCGTTAATCAAGCTGTACGCACGCTCACGCCACGGAATGTTCTGCGAATATTGCTGGCGCGTGTACACGCAGCCACGAGTCTGCATTAGGGTGCAACGGGTTGGCACCGTGGTATTGGCAAATTGTATTCGTTGAAATTATAATTTAATCGTTACATTATAATTTGATATCGTTATTATGTTATAATTCCATTGGTGCTATAGTTGTGCACCCGTGAAATATCTATAGCATTATTAGTAGTTGTCTTAAATAAATGTTACGTTCGCCGTTTTATCATTGCTATATATATATTTTTTTAGCCTCTTTCACGTGATACTATTAAAAATTAGAAATTATTAATTAAACCTACAAAACGCACGTAAATTGCAGCAGTGCTATAATATAATTATGCACCTTGGTGTATTTGAATTCATTGACAGGGTTTGAAAACAATCGGATAGACGATAATTCTTGAGTGTTGCATAATTGATAATTCTCGCTCGTTTCACGTTGTTTCGTCGAAGCCAGTGCACGAGAAAATAGGTACGAACTGATTAGAAATGGTAATTCAAACGATAGAAAAACAGATCGCGCAGGGAAACGCGTGCCGAGTAAAATTCAAGGTCCGCCGTCTAATGAAACGTGTAAAGACTCTTCGTTGGGACGAAGGAGCGTAAACCGTTGGAACAGCCAGGAACGCTCGACATTAACATATTAACAATGCTCCATTATGCCCACGACTGAGTGTAGCCCGTGGTCGTAGTGTTACGCTCGCCGCACAATACACCGAACGCCCGCCCGCAACACAAACGAATCAGCGTGGGTGTATTATGGCTCTGGCTCTTATAACTAGAATATACTGGGTAGTCGGGAAATCTTTGCCAGCGTTAAAAAGCTGTTGGACTATTGCACCAGTGACTCCGAAAATTCGTGGCTAACAGGTTTTGCTTTATTGTTTTGTTTATCTAACAGATTACGCGTGTACTTGGTAATTACAATAATTGTATGTATTGGAAATTGGGTATAATGAAAGAACAAAATACTAATTTTACTTTTGATTTTAATTTAATTTAATTTTATTTTAATTTTACCCAAGTACTTACTCTTACGCGTACTCACTTGGGTCGAGTACAACTCAAGGGGCTTGGAACATCAAACAATGAAATGAAATCACTTTTTTTTTTTAATTTTTTTTTTATTATTAAAATTTAAGCGATTCCGAATCATTCTACGCAAAGAAAGTTTAATTTGGAGCACTTCTCTTCTACACTAGAAGTGGTAGAAATAATTTGTTGAAAAAAAAAAAATGGAATTTTGTTTTTCACAAAGTTTCTTTTTCTCTGACAAAAAAAGTTCCACGACACGAAGTTAGTAAAAAGAACGCGATAAAACTGTAAAAAAATATAAGGAAGTACAGCTGACAACTTTCTCGAAGAGAAAATAACGACAGTTAAATTTGCAGAAGACCGGAGGCGCGGTTACCTTGGTCACAGACATAGGGTATTGCTTTCTAGGGTAAAGAAGACAGTAAATTTCCGAAAAAGCAGTGTTTTAATCGACTTTGATAAAATTCAATACGATTTGATAACTAAGTCTAAATTAAATGATAAATGTGATATTTCCAAATGTTACGTTGTAAATATGAACATGAATGAAGTTTAGACACGTATAGTTTTATAATAAAAAATTTATTTGGAAACATCAAACCTATCATCTCATTTAGACGAATTTCTTCGATAGACATAGAGAGAACGAATATTTATGGGAAATATGTAGCATTCCATTTAAAAAAACTGAAGGTCACCTATATTTCTCAGAAAATAGTAAAAAAAACGAAAGATTTATATACCTGGTTACATTCCGTACAAAAAGCAGCATCACTTTTCTTCTTTCATTTCTTCTTTTTTTTTTTGTTGTCATATGTACCGTTTACGAGAAAAAAGCTGCCTAGTACTAGCCTGAACACCCTGTATATAAATCCATAGATCAACGAGTGCGGGACTGTACGACACCTCGATACACCTGACGATCGATCTCTCATATCCCTTCGCCGATATTCGTTCACGCGAACGCGTCGCATCTCTTTGTCTCTTCTCTTTACAAACAAAGATCGTCAGTTGTCCGCGATTCTATTCGATTTTTCCGAAAACCTTGACAATACGTCTATCGGAAATTCGAGCGTTTCAGGAGCACCCTATAGAAAGCTATACCGGCCGGGCGTTTATACAATTTATACACAAGTTTGCGTGCAAACAGACTAGACACACGCCGGATTCTCCGCGCGCGATACTCATACTTGGGCACACAGGGTGTATTGTTACATCTCGGTACAATACCTCGCGCGTGCACGTGGAAGTGAAACGCACGGATTACCATAAAAATGATTTAAAAATTCACAATAGCTAGCGCTAACCAGTGGTTGGCGGGCTCCTACGGAAGGCGGACGACGCGATTGGTCGAACGGCGACCAATGGCGGGGGAAGCACACGGAGGCTGTGCGGACGCGAGCGCGAGCGAGACGAGATGAGATGTAGCGAAAGGGAGAGGGAGAAACGGGTTTAGGTGGGGGATGATGGACGACAGGGGGGTCGGTACAGGGTTGAAAGGAGAAAGGACGAACGAGAGTCAACGCGATTGGGAGATTCGAGAACGGGAACGAAGAGATACTAGCAAACAAAAATGTTTATATTAGGTTGTCCCGAAAGTTTCTTTCGCGAGTTGCACTCAGTTATTTTATGTGGTCGTGTATAAATAGACAATCTAATTTCATAGATATTCGTGGTGTAACGGTAATGGAGCAAAATGAATCGTGCACGATTCAGTGATGTAACATAAAACGTAAAATATTGTGCGTGTATTACTTATTAATAAAGCGAAAGAAGCTTTTGGGACAACCTAATATCTCAGAAACGGTTCACCTTTGGACCTATGTTTACTAAAGCTCTTTTACTCGGTACAGTGTACTCTATACAACATATAAATATTGAATGCTTTTTTTGAACACCCTGTATAAGTTAAATCAACATTCGTACTCCTTCCTTAGCAGTAAAATTGTACGAAGATGTAATTTACCATAAATGGTCCAAGACTTTTGCACAGTATGTACATCCAAATTCGTTTACGTGTCTAATCCTAATTGATTTTAGCAAATCGACTTCGTTCGGTACTCCCGTAAGAGAAATCTGATGAAAAATGTTCGTAAACCTAGCGTTAAACAGAAACAAAAACGTTGGGCGGGCTATCATTTTGCCCGGTACTGTACGACCCTGCTAAAAGGGAAGGTATATGTATACTGCATCTGCATGGGTATCCAGGAGAGAAAGGGAGGTAGAGCGAGGGAGACAGCGCAGGGTGACAGCGAGTAAGAGCGAGAAGCAGTGGGAGAGTTTGGTTGAGCCGATTGGTGGGGGGAGCAAGGATGAGGGAGGGAGAGAGCGAAAGAGAGAAGCCACGTGCTATGGGAACGGGAATGGATCTCTCTCGGCAGGCCTCAGTTCGAAACGGGCCATCAGCGATGCCTACACACCATGGCCACACAATGACCGTGGAATTGCTCGCCATAAGGCATCGTCGCGTCGGTGGACGTGTAGTGTTGTGAAAAGGTTTCGTTTTTAACGACCACTGGAGACCCTGTTTTTGTTTTCTCTCTCTCTCTCTCTCTCTCTCTCTCTCTCTCTCTCGTTCTCTCTTTCGTTGTCCTTTTCATCGCGGAACATGCGAATCGAGAACTGGTCCGCGAAAACAAAGGACCGAGACCGGTGGAAAATATGCTTTCTTTGAAACGACACACTGTTTCGAGAATCTCAGATCGATACGATACAAAATGAAACCAGCCATCCGACGATCGATCCCCAGGAAGTGATAAAAATAGTAAGATCCTGTTTCGAGAAATTTCTGTCATCGACGTGACCGTCGAGAAATAATAACACGTCCCGATCAATCGTGCGGTAACGACTGTTAACTATTGTTTACGTTGAATCGTAATCGGTGGAAACGAATATTGTGGATTTTGACTTGTGTTTCGACGAGACGTGTCCGCAGAAAGGATGCGATTTCGTTAAGGGAG